GCCTATTGTCCTTTACAGCAGGGAGCAGGGCCTACCATAGTCTGGTGACTGACTGTCTTCAGGGAGGATGTCTGTGAGCATCTGACCTCCCCGCAGATCGGACAGCTCTTATCACAATCCATCCATCCATCCATTGTGTCAAGCATAGTTGTACATTTGTTGCCATCATCATTTTCAAAACATTCTCTTTCTACTGAGCCCTTGGTATCATCAGCTCATTTACCCCCTTCCCTCCCTCCCTCCCTCCCTCATGATCCCTTGATAATTTATTAATTTTTTTTCATGTCTTACAGTACTTTGACAACCTATTTTTGGTTGTAATAGAATGTCTCGCAGCTGGCACTTGTCTGATGATATGCTCATGATTGGACAAGAGTTCATGTGTTTGGGGGAGGAAGACCATATTGATAAAGTGCCATTCTCATGATATTGTATCGCGGGCATTACATGGGTATGATGATTAGGATGGGTGTTAACCTTGGTCACCTGACTCAAGGTCATGTTTTTCTCCAGTGCAGTTATTCCCTCTTCCCACACCTCATTTTTAATATTTGAAGATGATCATTGTTGAGCCACTATTGTTGATATTATTTATTTACAACTAGCATGTTAATTTATGACACCATTTTAATTTAAATGAACTATTTATTGGTAACGTTGAAAATATTCACATTGAATATTCGAAGTGATTATGTGAAGGAAGCCATCAAGCGCAGTGCACATTTAAGGAGTGCAGAGCTTTGCCCACATCCACAAGTTCTCCATAAATTACATAGCGTCATTCTACATGGGAGATTTTTCTGCTTTCTGCCGTTTATTAATTTAATAATCGATTTGTATCAGTATAGCTGGATGCATATCGATATTATACTTCGGGTCATGGGACAGTAGTACTTTATTGCTCAGATGGTTCTAATCTTGGTAATTGGGAGCTCTTTCAGTTGGTTTCTACACCCTCAACTGTGTGTGTGTACACAGTTACTTACAAGTACGTCAAGAGGCTCCTGGCACCGCATCATTTGTCTTTCTTGTAGCAGGTCTAGAATAAGCCATTTCTCCAAGAAACGCTGCTTCCCTCCAGAATAGCGTTAAACCCCGTGTCTTGATGCTCCATATCCTTATTGCTCCTAGGAATTGGCAGAGTTCACAGCAGAGAGGTTATACGACTTTATAAAGGGCATCTGGCTCTCAGGATGAGACCAGATTAGAGGGGAACAAAGGAGAGGCAGGGAGAACAGTTGTCATGTTGAAGGGCGGTAAGGACTTGGATGAGGGTAGCAACGGAGAAGAGTACAGATGGAAGTGGTGTTATTGAGGCAGAATCATGAGGACCCGTTGTTGGTGAGCTAGGGGGAAGGACCAAGAATGATTTGATCTCTGGGTGAAAAAAGCCGACTGGATTCTGGTGTCATTTACCACCTGGGACAGGTTGCAAAACAAACCCAAAACTGGCTTTGGACAAAATTGAGGCTTGAGTTTCAGGAAATGGGGCTGGTGGGAGTAAGGTGATAAGCCTTTTGATATGTGGGGCTATGTCCCTGTGAGGTAAACAAGACATCAGACGCAGCTTTCCCTATGTGGACTGTTCGACTTCCATTTGAGTTCTTTTGATTTCAGAGGCCCCCAGGGAAGGCAGGTTCTATAGAGACTGAGTGTCACTATCTGGTATCGGACTTTGAAGTCGTGTTTATGAGATTGGCATTTCTGTGTGGTGTACAGTCTAAAGTGAACATTCAGTATTAAGTACTGCTTTGACATCTGGTAAATTAGGAGAGCCTCAAATGTCCCAGCCACAATCCAAACACCTGGTATATGTCTTTGCGGTGTTCTCCGTGTTGACCCGTGTCCTGACCTCTCAGTGTGGATCTGGTCTGTAGTCATTGATTTGGAATCTAGATCTTGTGTGTTGCCCTGTTCGTGATGTTAATGAGGGTCATAGCCTACTTGGGTCCATTCAGTTTTCAGCCCTGTAAATGTATGTGCCTTTCAGTGTGTAACATCTGATGACTGAGAAGTTGGGTGTTAATGCCTATAGGATTTTGGTGTGTGACCAACGTGAAACATGAAGCATTTGCAGTGGGGGATGGGAGGGGATGGGGAGCAAAGCCTTAATTATTGTCACAGTCAGACCCTTGTATACTAGATGAAATTAATGCTGAGTTTTGATGCCTCATTATATTGCTCATTGAGTTAGTTAATTGTGCCAGCCTGGCCGATAATCACATGTGGTGCTGGTTGAAAGGCGGAGGGATAAATGGGTGGTGAAGCCTTGCCTTTCTAGTTCTCGGGTCTCTTGTTTTGTGATGGTTGCACCGGGTGCAGCTGCCTTAGCAGTTCCCTGCTTCAGCTTGCAAGATGGACTTCCTACAAGACATCCCCAAGGAGAAGGAAGCTACATGGACCTACCCCGATGCAGCCCTGGGTGCTGGAGCAGCCGTGTGGAGACCCCTGCTAGTGCTGAGATGCTTGTTCGTTCACTGACTCAGCTTTCCTCCTGCAGTCGGCATCATCGCCTCTGTTTTGTGAGGTGGAGGACTTTGTGGACTGGTGTTGGGTTAATGGGTAAATGTTGGACTTGTGGGCTTGGGCAGCATTGGGTTGGGATGTTTTCGCGATGCACCTTTTCTTTACATAAAACTCTCTTATACATGAGTTGCTGTGGATTTGTTTCTCCAAAGTACCCAGACTAATACTCATGTTTTAATACAGTCATGCTAACCCCAGCTGGAAACACAGATAGAAATGTCTGTTTGCAGGAAATGAGGAGAAAGGAGTCACTTTTGCATGAAAAGAGTTTGTTTAATAAAAAGATGGTAACAGAAATGCCGAAAATCTCCAGTTCTTGCATTCTTACATTTGTTACTGCAGCATCGTGCTGGCTGTATTCTAAAAGATAGTTGGCGTGCTGAGACAGCTAGTTCTCCTTTGCTCCGTAGTTGTCAGCATGTCCCAGCTCAAAATGTCATAGAGAAGTTTGTAGAGTTTTGCTGCCCTCTTCTGGAGTTTTCTTGGCTTCTGGTGCCTTTAGTTTGATGCCAGAATATTCTTTTGTGGGAAATAAAGGACATTTGATTATGCACTTAAAATTTTAAGCTGGTTGCAGGCATGGGGTGAGGCAACCAATACATGTAGCACTTGTTTCAAGGATACGGCCAAAGAGAGGCCAGAGGGGGCCCCCGATTGTGATTTCTGCTGGATTATTATTGAGCCAGCAGGGAGAGATATCAAGGGGTCTCAAGGATGGAACACCTGGTAGGCAGGGCTCCTCCACACAGACTCAGAACAGAGCCCGTCCAGAAAAAGTGCAGCGAAGATGTGAATTCTACAGTCATCGTCTGGGCCACGAATCAACCTTTGCGAAAGCTACCATCATGCTCGATGTTTTTATTGTCAGGATTGGTTGGCTTTTATCAGCTGTAGCTGAACTCATTTAGCAATCATTTGATTCCAAATTCTTAACCCAAGTCCTGCTTGGGGTGGGGGTGGGGGAGGTTGGTGTTAAGTCCAAGGCAACTCATACAAAGCTAGATCGTATGAAAGCTAGTGGTAGAAACTGACCCTGAGGGAGATGCTGATTTTACCACCTTCTAAGGATTGATTTGACCACAGAAAATCCCCCAAGCCCCGACCCTTCTGTTGATCCTACCTCATAGCAACCCTCTAAAGGGTTTCTGAGATTGTAAGTTTTTAGGACAACGGATAGCCTTATCTTTCTCCCTCTGAGTGACCGATGGGATTGAACCACCGACCTGGAGGTTAGCAGCCCAACACCCAACTCACAGCACCAAGAAGACTCCTTATATAACTTCCTCAGTGCCACCCACCCTAGCTGGGAAATCTTTTCCTCGAGACAAAGGTTGAGTAAACATGGGTTTGGGTTAGATAGAAATGTAGGAACTGTGAGCCAGGGAGACAGAGAGTGAAAGACTGCAGCAGGGCACACAGTGACAATGAGGATGAGGCCAGACCTGTATGATGGGCATATTTTCAAAGAAATAATTGAGCTACACTCATGTCACTGGGAGCGTGTGGGATGGTGGGGCAGATGATTTAATTTGTTCTGACTAAGGCTATCTCAGTGTCAGGACTTCTGTGGGGTCTACAGGGATGGTGAACACTGATTCGGACAAGAAGAGTGGGCCGGTCAGAAGACAGCTGGCAGGGCAGCTGGAAAAGGCTGATTTCAGAGGCCATCGTTCCATTCCTTTCTCGGAAGCACCAACCCCCCACCCCGTGTAGGCTTTCGTGAAAGAGGAAAACGTTATTGTCTCTCTTACCAATTTTACATAGCTCACTGGGATGTCACTCATTTGAGATGGGAATGGGCCCTGGGGCACAGGCACTTCTTTAAACGTCACTGAAATAAAGAAGGAACATATTATGATCGGAGTTGAGCAATACAAAAGCAAACAGTCACATAACCAAGGCGGAGTGATAAGGTCAAGTTGGAGGCAGTGTATAGCCCTAGCAGCAATCTCCCCTCTGACCATTAACAGAGAGATTTCAGCAAGGCACAGTCTCTCAGTCTTTTAGGGACTGATGGTTGGGTGGTGAGGAAGAGAAGACCTGAGTGCTAGGTTGAAGCAGGGCAGTGCCCAGTGTGCGATGAGCGGGTGCCAACTGAAATGCTGGTATGTCTGCCCTCATCAGCTTCGACCCCAAGAGTTAGGCCTTGATATTTTGGTATTCTTTGAACCATGCTGTACCCCGTTTGATTCACCAGAAATATGTGCAGATGGTAGTTAGCACCAATAGCCTTTGGTGCTCTGAGGGGGTCCCGGTTCAGCCTGTCGGATTTCTCAACCCCACAGTGTCCGCGTGGCTCAGTGACTCCAGTGTCAGTACCCCAATGCCATGTTCTTCCAACTGGCATGCTAGGGTTGGGCCCCAAGGGTGCGCCTCCGCTCGGTTTCCTGAGGCTCGGGAGATTTTGATTTGGTTTTCAGTTTTCTCACCACCACAAGAGTCTGAACTCGCTATCAAACAGCCAAGACATTCTTGGTGCCTCAGCTGTTGACGGGATGCTATTTTGATAGGAGTTGAGCAATATTTTGTTCGGTGCTGCCGCCCCTCCTGGTGTGCGTGAGGGCTTCTCGCTCTCAGCTAGTCATTCCACATACCTTGAAGGCCCTTGGTAAACTTCCCCATAGCTTTATCCACGGCTTCTTTTGCCTCGTCCATCTGAAAGAGACGGTGAAACATGGTCATAAAGACCATTTAGTAGCTCCCTATCTAGTGCTTTTGTTCTCATTATTAAAAAAAAAAGATACTTAGGTGTGTGGGTGGCTGGGGGGCAGGGTTTACAGTTTAGACTGTCTACTTTTCAGTAGTTTAAACCTGTCATCAATCCCCCACCACCACCACCACCACTAGTTAATCCCATGCTGTTTCCTGATTTCTCTTCTTCCTCTTGTGGACTGTTTTCATTTCGCCCAGGTTAACACCCATCCCCATCTAGCCCATTGCTTTATCTTTCCACCTTTGTCCCCCTACTTGACAAACCCCAAAGTACAGTCCCCTCCCCCTGCCTGCCGCCAATAACGGTGGTCTCATAAAGTATTTGTCTTTTTATGACTGGTTAACTTCACCCAGCATAATGTTCTTCCGGTCCATCCATGCCACCAGATGCTTGGTGATCTTGTATTTCTTTTTACAATTATTTTATTGGGGGCTCATACAATTCTCATCACAATCCATACATACATCCAGATCTTATATTTTTTTTGAGTGAATGCTTTATTGCAAATCATCTAGTCTTTTAAAGCAAGGGAGGGAGTCTTTTTTTTTTTTTTTTAGAAAGGGAGTCTTAACTGCCTCTGTGTAGGTACAGTTTTCCTGGAATGAAAATGTCTGTTCCGCAGCATGACTGTGCACGGGTGGATTTTAATCTATACCTTTGATCCATGATTCTTTGGGGTTTTCAAAAGGCCCTCAGTTTCTCTTAAGGGGTTCCTCGGTCAAATGTTGCCTGGGCTCCTTTTCGGTGCCTGGCACTGCTCTACGCCGAGGGGGATGGCTGTGAGAGGCAGGCTTCCGGCCCTTAGCACACACATATGGCTGCTGAGTGCTGTGCCCCTTGTACTCTGCGGAGGCCTTCCGGGAGTGGTCTTGCCCTGCTGGTGCTGCGCTTACCATCCTTCCTGTTGCGTGCCCCTCCTTCAGAGGCTTTAGGATTCCAAGCCACCCGGACCCTTTACGTTCGTTCGTTGGGTCTACCTGCCTCGCATTGCGCCAGTCTGCTGCAAAGGGCCTCGTGAAAGTGTTGAAAAGCAAGGAGGTTATTTTGACGACTAAGGAGGGCCTGACCCAAGCCATGGTGTTTTCAATCGCCTCATATGCATGTGAGAGTATTGAATAAGGAAGACCGAAGAAGGGTCGATGGATTTGGATTAGGGTACTGGCAAAGAATATTGAAAATGCCATAAGTGGCCGAAAGAATCAATCGATCTGTTTTGGAAGAAGTACAGCCAGAATGCTCCTTAGAAGCAAGGGTGGTAGGACTTGGCCTTCCTTGGTTTGGACCTTTTATCAGGAGAGACGAGTCTTTAGGCAAGGACATCCTGCGTGGTAAAGTAGAAGGGCGGCACAAAAGAGGAGGACCCTCAACAAGGTGGATTGGCACGGTAGGGGCTGCAGCCATGGGCTCAGACATCAGCACAATGGTGAGGACGCCCCGGCCTGGGCAGTGTCTCCTTCTCTTGTGTGTTGGGTCCTAACAACAGCCACATACCCTTTGCTCACGCTCTTCCTCTGCTGCAGCAGTTCTCAACCTTTGGGTCGCGACCCCTTTAGGGGGGGGCCAACGACCCTTTCACAGGGGTTGCCTGATTCATCACAGTAGCAAAAATGACAGTGATAAATTAGCAACAAAAATAATTTTATGGTTGTGGGGGGGTCACCCCCACATGAGGACCTGTATTAGGAAGCTTGAGAACCACTGCAGGTCGATTGGCACACCCTTTGGGTCTGTAAAGTCTTGCTCTTCCTTTAAGGCTGAGTTTGGACATCACCTTTTCAGTGCACCTTGCATTTGATACTCTTTCTACCCTGTCTTCTCCACCCTGTATCATATGCTTATCAGAGAGTCACAAAACTTGATGTAAAGATCTAATTCTTCTTCTGGCTGGGAATTTATATGAGGTCAGGGGTCATGCCTTTGATCTTTTCTGTCCAGGTCACAAAGGCTGGCCCATTGTAGCTGCCCACTAACATTTCGATGTTGGGAAATCTGGGTTTGGGATGACTCCTAGGGTCTGCTTCTGGACTGATTCCCTATGCACTCGGGGCTGCTGACACGGATGCACGGGCAGTTAGCCTCGTTGGGAGCCCACAGTTCTACTGCACGTGTCTCCGTGACCTCTCCTTTTCCAGAGCCCCTGCGCTACTGAGAATCCAACATGAAAAGACCTGTCTCATACCACACGTCCACAGTCAGGCAGACACACAGTCAACTTACAGCCTCAGGGGGTTCTGCGCTGTCTTCGTGCCTGCCAGGAAAGAAAGTACCAGGAAAGGTTAGGGTCACATCCCAAAGGCCAACCGGTTCTCGAGTAGAGTTTGAATGTTACCTCTGCAGCTTTTTAATAAGAAAAGACTGAGTTGAAACGTCAAAATGAGGTGGATAAGACAGAGCATAGGGGTTTAAATCTCCTGACTTCCCTGTCCTTGTACCAGTATTTCCCAAGGGCCTGTTACACCATCCCTGTATAGCAGCCCTGACCTCGCCTCTTGAAATGCCAGCGTAGGAGGAAGATTACGCAGTTGTAGATCGTACCTTAAAAGTTTGATTTCTGAGGTCATTTTGTCCTTTGAAACTGTGCTCTTACAGAAGAACGTGGAGACCTGAATGAACACAAAGTGAACATCGGTTAGAAATAGAACCACGACTGACTTGCCTATTCAGTACGTGTGACACATTCTGAGCCAACCCGCCACCTCTCCTCGTTCCTCAGGTCTGAGCTCTCCCTCCGCCCAGCAACGCCCAGGCGCTCTGAACCTCAGAGTTTGGGCAGCGATTCCCCAAGAACACTCTCTCGTCTTCCCCCCTCAACACTGCTCTTTCATGCCCCATTCATAGCCCCCCTCTGATTCTGTTCTCAGCACTCACCGTTGTCACAATCGCTAGGGGTCTACCGTCCTTCAGCACCTCTATGACCACGTTGGCGTTGACCTTGTTGTCTTTTTGGTAGCTGTAGCTTACTCTTAATATCCTTGCATCCATGCCGTTAATCTGTTGTAAAGGAAGGCAGCACTATGCAACGTTCGGTTCATTCTGTTTAATATTTATCGATCCTCAGGTGCTGGCTGGCTGCTGGCAAAGCAGCGGGACCCCGGCAGACAAGATCTATCTGATACCAAGCACTGTCTTTTGTCTCCTCTTTCTTGAAGGAACGGCAGGTAGGAAGCACGTACAATGTACTGTTCGGTGACACCTCCTATTTTGGCCTCTCTTTGTGGCGTGTGACTGTTCTGCCCTCGACAATTTGGAGAGGCTTGGCACATAGGAAAGTGGTCAATTGCTATTCACTTTATCACTGCTACTGCTACAATTCCTTCTACCACTTGTAGGGCCGTCAGAGCTGGTTGTCTCATAGGTGGATAAACTCACCTCCCTGGCTAGTGCCCTAACTATTGACACGTTGCTTCTCTCCATTGGCTCCTCTGCCAAAGGGATGAGGGCGAGAGCATCTATTTCTGCGCAATGTGCTGAGGATAAATGTAGGAACCCCCAGCTGAGGTTCTGGCACACAGCTGGCCCCCAGAAAACATTACTCTCCTTGTTCCTCTACTCCTGGCTTTCCACGGGAGCGACCAAGGTCAGTAAGGGAAGTACGTATTCCTCAGCCTTTCCTCATGCATTCCTCTGGCAGAGCTTTCTTGATGCCCCCTGTGCCTTCCCACCTCCCCAGGTGACAGGCTAGGCTGAAGCCTAGTGGGGCAGGAGCCCTGTGATGATGACACTTACCGAGATAGAGCTCTTCTTGGCAGTGAGAGCGACAACCATCTTGATCATGTTGTGGGAGAGAGTGATGGTCATGTTGGCATTTTTAGGATGTGGAGGCAGCCAACTTCCCTGTACGGGCATCGCTTTCCCCTCGTGGGTGCAAACAACCTGGAGAGAGGGAGCGCCAAGCCCTGTCATCCCGGTAGACGAGCTCCACTTCCAGCAGCTCCCGTGGCCCGGCCGCGCAGGAGGACAAAGAGCAGATGACCTCCCCGGGTTCAGGCCGGGTGATGGCTGGGAGGGGGAGGGCTTATGGGGATTGGAGAACAAGAGGCCCTTCTAAAGAGGGAGCCAATGTTCAGATCCAGCTACTGGACACCCCCTCGCAGGACGGCTCAGCACAGCCCACCCTTTGATTGCCGCAGAGAAGCCACAATCCTTGCTTTCCAGGAGAATCCCCCCATCACGGGTGGTCGCCAGAAGGTTTCCTGTGGTCACGCCTCTTCTAAGGATGGTCTCCCAGCCCCAGTGCCTCCTTCCCTTCCCTGTCTCCATAGCATTTGGATGTCAAGCCCCACCTTGTCTCTGGGATTGTTTCGTCAGTGCGTTGGCACCTCCATCACTTCCTTTACCCTTTAGATGAGTGCTTCTCAGCCTCCTAATGCCACGACCCTTTCAGACAGTTCCTCACGCGGTGGTGACCCCCCAAACTATTTTTGTTGCTACTTCATCACTGTCATTTGGCTACTGTTATGAATCAGGCGACCCCCCGTGAATGAGTCGTTCAACCCCCAAAGGGGTCGAGACCCACAGGTTGAGAACTGCTGCTTTAGAGGCACTTGGATTTTAAAATGTGGACTCAATATGGCAGGAAATAGGACAAGCTCAGAGAAGCCCAAAGAAAGGAAAACAAGAATTCTGTGTTTGTGGCACTCCTATTTCTGCATGTGCTGGGCTACTTCATCTAAATTGTTGTTTTTTTTTTTAAACTCCACTTAATTTTTCCCCCTTACTTTTTATTCTATTAAAAGGGCTCACACCGGGCTGCCACAATGGGTTCAGACAGAAGAACAGCTGTGAAACGGCGCAGGGATGCTCTGTTGGGCACGGGGTCACTCTGAGTTGGAACCAACTCGACGGCACGTAAGAACAACGGCACGTAAGAACAACAAAGATTTCAGTACCCTTAGAAGCGCTTCTAACTACCAGTGGGCATTTGGTAAACATTTTCATCACCTTGTGCTTGGTTTAACGGGTTACTTTTCTTTCCCACTATCAGTCCCTTACTCCCTGCATGTGTTTGTGCTTAAACTATAGCTAGACGGAGGGTACTTCTTTCAGATGGTGTCATGGCTAGAAATGTCTCCCCCCCACAACATGTGTCCTCTTGACCAGGCCACAAGTCTCCGTGGTTGGACAGGTATATGGGATGATCTGATTTGGCAGTGTCATATAATGATGCAAGCACCCCTCATGTTGTGATCTGATGTGACCAGCCAATTGGTGTCAGAGCACTTGGGTGGGATAAAATACCCTACTGAGGTCACAGGCCTGATTTGATGCGAGGGGCATTACCTGGGGTGTGGCTTCCATCACTTTTTATCTTACAAGTAAAGATAGGAGAGAGAAAGGAGTAGCGAAGAAGGGTCCTCAGTTCTATGAGACAGAAGAGCTAGGTGTCCTTTGGACCTGGGGTCCCTGTGCTGACAGCCTCCCAGCCCAGGGGAAGATTGAGACAAACACCTGCCCTGGAGCTGAGGGAGCAAGCCCGTGCAGGAGAGAGCCTTCCACTTGAGCTGACACCCTGAATGTGGATGTCTAGCCCCCTCAACTGTGAAAGGATACCGATCGGTTTGTTAAGCCCATCTACTGCCCCGTCCCAGGACCGCTGCAGAACTCAGACAGATGGAGACCCAGAGTGGATTTCATGGAATCGAAACCCTTGCTTTTCTACAGCTCTTCTGACTTAGGGAGTATCTTTCCCCGGGTGGTTGAGATAGGACTGGTAGGAACAATCAGGAACGGCCAGGAAGCCTGGTTTCCTTAGGTGTCATCTATTGAGGGCCCCGACCAGTGCGAGGCGCCCCCTAAGGCTCCGAGAAGTGGTTGTCGCTGTTGCGATCTTCCTACGGGCACTGCTCCCTCAGGCTACGAATGGAAGAGGAGTCAGGGTGACCCCTGAGAGCTGCTCATGGCTGGTGGGGAAGCCTGAGAGGCTGAGCCCGTAACCGAGGCCTGGGGCTTCCAGAAGGTATGTAGGCTGGCCTGTGCGTCATTGGGATACATTTTGTGACCTCAGCCATACTTTCAGCCTTTGTAGAGCAGGGACGGTACAGAAAAGCTGTACTTACACAGTACGTGATTAGCAGCCCTTCCGAGGAAAATGTGGCGTCTTTCAGGTGGTACGTGTAGAGGCCAGTCGCTGCAAGCCAGAGGACAAGGAGCATGAGACCACTTACAACCCACGGGAGGCCGCTAGGATCTAGCCTCGCTGCCAGGCTCTACCCTACGGCTGTGGGACCCGTGTGAATCCAGCCCTCTTCCCTCTGCAGGGCAGGCAAGCTGGTGCCCTCCCTGGCGTCTCCCTACACCTCTGGAGGGGATCTGGAGGCACGGTGGGTGGGTGGGTCTGACACGAGGACATGACCATGTCCATGATGGGCCGAAAGCCTCAGGAGCGAGGGAAAAGGTGCGTGATCCGATCACATGTTCTGTGTCTTGGGATTTAGAAAACACTACTGACTCCCATCCTCACCTGGCCCTGGCAGCTGCCCTCCCTCCATGCACTTTCACCCCTGCCTCATAAATGGGGTGGACACGCTCACTGGAGGGATATTCTGGTCTTCGGCCCCCATGGCTGAAGGGCTGGGGCCCGCACCTCACTCGGCCCTTATGCAGTGGAGACTTTAAGGACCAATAGGGATTGGGGGGGCTTCGGCAAAGACTCCCCAGGGACTCTCTGTTATAGCCCCAGGGCATAAAGAAGCCAGCAAGCTGTGTTGCTTTCAGTCCTAAAGGGTGCCAAGGGGAACTTGTGTGGGCACTCGGGGGTGCCCGGGGTCTCTTTTCAAAGCACCATCCTCTCTGGGCTGTCACCCCGTGCTAAGCCGTCAGAGCCACAGCCATCTCCCTGTGTTGTCTGGGAGCCCCAGGGCCGGCAGGTGTGTGTACTCACAAGTCTTGCATTCACCGATATTACCGAAAACAGCATCAGCCGCTGCTGCGTTTTTGTCCTGGGAAGATACCAGCCGTTAGGCTTGCTCACGGCGCGCAGGTTGGCTTCCCCCTTACATGCAAGTCTCCTCACCCAGCCGCCTTCTTTCTCCCCCTTTTCATCCCCCAAACACACCCTGTTTCTCTGCAGCCTAAGACCTGTCCAAGCTTCTTTCTAGGCGGAGTCTTTTGAGCCGGAGGTGTTGTGGCCTCCTTTGTTCAGGACCCCCAAAGCTCGGTGTCTCACTCCCGAGTCTCTCCCAGGGTCAGCCGTCTCCCGTCCCTTCCCCCACAGACACGAGGCGTCGCCCTGGTGGTGCCCTCTCCCCCACACTCCCCCCATCAATCACTTACTTCAGAATTCATTTCCACGGTCAGCAGCGTAGCTACTGTGTCAGTCACATCCACAGGGACTATGTCAGAGACAGGGAGAGCCTCTTCCACCCTGCCAAAGAGAAATGTGGAGAACTGGGTGGTGACTCTTGCATTTCTCCATTTTCCTCAAACATCGTTGGGCACCCGCTCATTGCCCTACCAGCGACAGGGACCTCCTACTGCTCAGGGAATGCAAGCAGGGAGCCCCTTCCCGTTCAACTTCAGTCCTTCCGAAAGAGGCAAGGATACCTGGCAGAGTTACCAATACACAAGACGTCTCCCCCCACATGGGAAGGCATCCTTCCGACACCGGTCCACGGGGGTGGGGGTGGGGAGGGGAGGAAAGATTTGCTTTTGACTGCATTCGTTGGGTTTGGATACAACAGTTAGTTGGAGAGAAGCCGCTGTTTGTGACGGAGCGGTGGACTAAATCATGTGTGTGTAATCAGGGAGCACGGGACAGCCGTGAAAAGCCAAGGCCTTCATGAACTGACCTAACACAGCCTCCACGCCTGGTCGTTGTTTGTTAAAACGTGAACTGCGGCGTCTTTACTCGTGTGGGCGGATTATCTCCGAGAGGACAGAAAAGAAGCTGGAGTCTTTGATCTCCCCCAGGGAACATAACGAGCTCCCGAGCTAGGGTACGCGGAGGGAAGGGAGACCTCTTGCTAGACAGCCTTTCGCATGTTTTGCAGTTTGAGCTGGTGAATGGACGGCTTATGCAGACAATAGGAGGACATGTAAACAATAAGCATCCGCAGTCAGAAAGTCTGTGGAGCGAAGGAAGGCTGTTCTCAAAGACAGCGGTCCTGCCCTCAGCCGACACCCTCTCTGGCCTTCCGGGGTTGGATGGTGCAAAGCAGTGGGTGGTGGCATGGGCACACGTGAGCACATGTGCTAGTGGATTCAGAATAGCCCCTAGCCCCACTTACGTTTTCAGGAGCATAGCCGTCACCTTCTTGACTGTGAAGACCTGCTTCAGTATGTGGAGAGTGAGGCACCGCGTCTTGTTGGCGGATATGGTCAGGACCAGAGACACATCTGCTTCGATGCGAAATCCAAGTAAGTCCACTGCCACACTCAGTAAGCTGTGGAGAAGCCAGTTACAGGTGACACCAGGCCTGTCTTCATGGGGTCTCTTAAGGGTGGGCATTCTGGGTGCCGGCCTGGCGACTTTGTCCAGGCTCGCCTAGTTTGGTGCTTTCTCGCAAGTCTAACCGAGCTGCTTGCCTTCCCCTGACACACAGGGTAAGGGGTCAGGATCACACCAGGGAGGTCTATCCCAGGCTCCTGTGGAAAAGTTCTTTCCAGAGCACTAGTGATCTTTTTGGATAGAAATCGGCTCCCCTCCCTCACCAAGAATTGAGGTTTAAAGGGAGACCCCATTTCTGGTGCATTCCCCCCCCCCCCCCGACCTCGGGGACCCAGCCTCTTCAAGGTCAGGGAGAATCAGTAGGCAACATTGTGCCAGGGTCCCTGGAGGTGCCCCCTGAACGTGTGGTGGGGCCACCCGGACAGTGACACAAGCAGGCCGTGGCTCTCCAGGACATCACCTCGCCTTTCCCCATGGAGCCTGGCCCACGGTGGCCTGCA